TGAAAGTTTAATATCAGAGTAGTTGCAGATTAATCTTCACTTTAATTTTCCTTTAAAGAATGAATGAATTGACTAATCATGAATTTTTTTTAAAATGCAACTTTTCTTGCAATAATGGAATAAACCTTTTGCTTTCTGGTGAGAACCAGATATTTATCCAACAATCTCTAACAACCAAGGTGTTGTTTTTCTGAGACAAGTGAAAATGAGCTTGTTATTATCCCCGAGATAATTAACAAGGTAATTAACTTGCTAGCTCATGATTAGGGGAGAAAATAAAACGACTGCAAATACAACTGTGCTTGGCTTTGTAGCCGTCCTCTGTGAACTGTGAATGAATGTTGTTCAATTTAACATTTTCAGGCCTTTTTTATTTTGTGTGTTTAATGAAAGTGTAATTCCAATGAAAACACAAGAGACTTTGTTTCTTTCACTATACATCATTATATCTCTCTGGGGTCTAAGTACAAAAAGCATTGAGAATGTTGTTGAGTTGTTCAGAGTCAGTCCTGGTACTATACTTCTACATCAGTGTCTATGGGAGATGAAGGATGTGCCTGACACACTGGTCGTCAGTAGTCGTCTGTTGTACTGATATTTATAGAGCTGATTTAGCCTAAAGTGTCTCTGTGGAGTGTTTGTCCTTCCTCTTACTCAGGTAGACCTTAACTGTAACAGTTTGATTCATTGCAGCATTAAAAGGTCTCTTTGCTACACTGCTGAGTGTCGCTGAAGACCTGGCCTATGAACTGGACACAGGTACAGGTAGACTGTGTGATTTAGTTGATGATCAGGATGAAACGAATCCTTTCACTGTTCAGTGTCTTTTCATTATGCCTCCTCGCTGGTGACAGCCAGTGGCCAAAGACATTATGTTTCCAGGTCATCTGTCCATCCAACTGTCCAATTTTTGTGAACAGAAACACGATACAGAACACCTTAAGGGATTATCTTGAAATTTTGTACTTAATTAGAATTTGGGAGTCAAAGGGTCACTGTGACCTAATGTTCCTGTGCATGATATATAGGATAAAAACCCATTGGGAATTTCAAATAGACCGAATAGAATTCGTAGGTTAAAGGTCAAGGTCACTGTGCATCACATTTTTTTATGCCTCATGAACCTGTTATATTAAGAACGCCTTGAGAGAATCCTTTGTAATTTGGCCACACATGTTTTTGGCCCCGTGTACATGATAAAGTCAAGAAATGTCTTCAAATTTTGACCAGTTGTCACTTGGAATCAAAGATGAACCGATTAGCTTTCAGAGGTCAAAGGTCATGGTGCCCTTATAAGAGTTTTGGGGTAAAAAAATGTAGAAACTGCACTGGTTGGCAGAGGCATACAGCCAAAGGTAATTCTAGTTTAATGCACTGACATCTCATTACTACTGACAACTGACTGAGATTCTTCCAGGGAAAAAAGCCTTCAGTACATCAAGTTAATCTTATCTCCATATCAAACAAACAGGCTCAACACAAGAGTGGATTGTTTATTACTGAGTGTGCCACAAGATCCTTCATTAAGGAAGGAAGCTCAATGAGAAGGACCGGCTCATTCAGCTTTAAATGATTCTGCATCCAGATCAATGAATGTGAGCTGAGTGCAGGAAATTACTTTGGCTCAAATCCATTCTATTTCCAGAGTCAAATAACAAAAGTAAATTCTCTGACTGTTGCAATAACGTCCATATAAACCCACATATGTTATATAATGTTATATACTGTAGTATATTCCATATACTATGATTTTTGCTATATAAATGGAACCAGAGCTTGTATGGACTGTTCCACATGAGCAATCTGTGGATTTGTATTGTTGATTAGTTCGGAGCTTAAAATGATACAGAGGAAAGTGTATTGAATTGGTATATTTGCTGCAGGAGCCGTTCTTTATTTAGTGCAGAATTGATTTATCAATTTAGCCCCAGTTAAAGGTCTGTAATGCTTCAGATAAGACACAGGAAGTCTGTTTGAGAGGCTGCTCATCATCTTAAAGGTTGTTATAAAAAGGAAGAAGTGTTGAAGTATTGATCATTTCACAGGCAACTTTTTACATTTGAGTTTTTTAAATGGCAAAGTCCTAATCGCTCTGAGGATAATGAGCAGACCGCTGGCTTTTTACGATATGATTGCTCTGAACGGTGAGGTATTCTTTGCTAATGAAGTTGATCTCATCCTCTTCCCTATAGTTGCTCAGGGCCCCTGAGAGGAGGGGCTGCCGTCGGCGGCGGAGAAACTCGACCTTATTACCAGACCGATCCAGTTGCGTGGTCATTAGATTAAACAAACTGTTGTCTCCTTTTGTTAAATGTCCTGCAAACCAAGGTCAGGTGTCGTCATGCTGTCTTTGAGACTGCAGCGTCACACAGAGCAGTGAATAGACAGGCTGTTGCTTGTTTTGTCAGAGCAGCTTGCGCATGTTGATTGTAGATTTTGCCTTAAAGGCTCTCTAATGATTCAAGTATAAAATGACAAATCTACAACATTACATGCAAATGTCTTATCTACTCAGTCTCCACAGATGGATAGATACAAAACTCAGGGTACAGCCTAAACAGGTTGCCAGCGTATCGCAGGACAGATTACCGTAGCTGTTTTCAGACATTAATTCTGGATAATGTCAGGACATAAGGTTCCATACATTATCTGGAACCTTTCTCATATGAACAATGCAGCAGGAGATTGTCTGGCTCAGATGTGTTCATAACGCATACTAACTAAATAACTAAGACTGTGTTTGTCTAGGAACCTTTAACTCATATCAAGAAGCGGGTTAAGGACAATACGTTTTTATGGCCATTACAGGGATTCTGGGGAAACTGTTCTGAATTACAGTGCAGTATTCAAAAATCTGTTAAAGTGAATAACCAGTGTTGTTTTTTTCCTCTGTTTATAAATAAAATTATCTAATGGAAGTAATTTACATAGTAGAAAAATATTTTTTAAATTAAAGGTGAAGTCATATTTCACATTATTGAGAGTCTTTGGTAAATAATATCTCAGGTCAGCCATGGTATCATAGCATTAGATGGGACAGTTGCATGAAAAAGTGATCATGCCAGAATAAATGTGTTACAAAAAAGGGACTGGATAATGTCAGGGTAGAACAACAGGAGTTTCTTCCATCACCCATTACTTGGTGATTGTAGAGGGGGGGCACGGTCAGATAGGGTCAGCTTACCGGACCTCGCCATCCCTCTGCTCCAGAGGTGTCACTTTGATTCACAGGCCCGCGAGAAGCAGGAAAAGGCAAAGACAGGAGAAACTAATGGAGTGAAAACGCTCAGAGAGCAGGAGGAATGTGAATGGGGCAGTATTTCTTAAAATGTGTGGTACAGAGGAAGAGAATAAACAAGTGTATCCCTGTTGTTTTCCTCTGTCTGTCAGACTTTCGGCGTGACAGCAGAGTTTTTTTGAATACTGCAGGCGTATTCCCTTTATTCTTATCCTTTTGGAGTAGTAAGTGGACTAGTTCTGACACAGCGTTGTATGTCTTTCCGTCTCTAGGAGGCTGACAGCTGGGAAATCATCGAAGGGTTGAAAATCGGTCAGAGCAACGTCCAGAGGCCAGATAAACACGAGGGTTTTATGTTGAAGAAGCGGAAATGGCCCCTGAAAGGCTGGCACAAGGTAAGATACACAGGCAAAGCTGCTGGAAAAAAACAGACGTTCGTTTAAGAAACTTCCTCCTCCCCTCACCCTCGATGGGCCTCTCTTCTGCAAGCTGAGTGGAAATTTAGTTTGAAGTCGCCACCGTCAGCATCGGCTTCACTGTTGTTTTCTCAAAATATTTGAATACTGGTGGAAACCTGTTCTTGTTGTGTACATATTTGAACCCACAACATGAATGTCCTACAGACACAGTGGACCAATTTGTATTCAACCTACAATCTAAACAGGTCCAGTGTGTCCTATATTGAACGTCCGTCCTTCCTCATATTTAACTAACTTTTTTTTCCGGTGCTCATTTTCTCTGCAGCGGTTTTTTGTTCTGGACAATGGTATCCTGAAGTACTCAAAATCCCCCATTGATGTAAGTAATCCTGACTATAACCCGCAGGCACACGCAGGGCAGGCTGGCCTGACATCAGCTCGGCCTAGCAATGACTCAGCAGAAACATCTGCATCATGGACCATGATATTCAGGTTGTTTCAGGACACAATGTCACTTAAATGATAAAATGAGAATAAAACACAACCTTGAAGAAGAACAAGTAAATTCAGACACACTCTCTTGTAATTGTATTTGTGTGTTTTCCTCCCAAACACAAATATGTACACGACCCGCACGCACACATTCACATATGTCCCACGACTTAACCTGTTACCTGTCATTAAACACATGCTACATACGCAGTCACTCACATCAAATGGGTTAAGGCCTCCTCAGCCTGCTGTTTTGGTGGTTGAGTTGTGTTGGAAAGTTAAACTGAAAACAATTTGTCTTGCACTTGTCTCAGATCCAGAAAGGCAAACTACATGGCAGCATTGACGTCGGCCTCTCCGTCATGTCAATCAAAAAACGAGCCCGTCGCATTGACCTGGACACCGAGGAGCATATCTATCACCTGAAGGTAACACTGATGAGAGGAGTCAACACTGACACTTCAGGGTCAGCGGATGAAAGAGTTAAACTTTCCTCTCCTCCTCTTGTTCCTCTTTAGGTCAAATCTCAAGAAATCTTTGACGTCTGGGTTTCCAGGTTGCGTCATCACCGACTCTACAGACAGAATGAGATTGTGCGATCTCCCCGTGATGCCACCATTCGAGCATTTCCTCCCCCAGTTGCCATTGAGTCTCCCCAACCTGCTGCGAGCGTGGTCCATGAAGCAAAGGTAAGTCCTTAAAGCCCCTGATACTATCTTAAGTGCCCTTATCCACCTGTGAAGCAGAAGCAGAACAAGCTCCACATCCTGACTGGGACAAATAGGGCTGTTACACCATTGGACCATCAAAAAGCTTAATTAATCAACACAGCTTCTCTCTTAAGTCCCGGGTATGAGCATGACCGCTTCTTGGTGCTGATTGGTTGTAATAGTATTGGGTGGCTCAGTCCCAGCTACTGTCATTTTTCCATTTACAAAGCCAGAGCTGTGTAGATTCTTTGGTCTAGACAGCTAGTGGACCATGAGGAGTTATTAACTGAATCCGACAAAAAGTGCATTGGACTAGAATCACATTCTCTACCTTTAACAGACAAGTCATACCTCTCCTGTATTCAGGCATAAAATTAGTCTGTGGCTGTGCTCCGAGCAGAGTGCAATTACTTATTCAAGAGGGGTATGTCATGGGGAATGAGGGATCGCCTAGTTCGGTTTTTATTATATTTTTTTGAAAAGTAATATATATGTACCAAAATATCCTCCAGAAGAAAGGAGGTAAAATTCACTCTATGGTCAGACAAGATTGTGTCTGTCTGTGTGATGGTTTCTTACAGGTGTGGAAGAAACTGTTGTACTTGTGATTTTAGCACTTGTTTTTGTTTCATGCCTCAGATCTGTCGACTGTGGCTAATTATCAGACTAATGACTGTGAACGTGTAGACAGAAATCTGCCTGATGCAGTAAAGCGGACTGGACAGGTAATTGTATTCAGATCATTAGAAAAACACAAACGATTGTTGGTCTAGACTGTTTCCAGTTCAGTGTGAATCTCTAGTCCTTGACAACGTGGCTGATTTGCTAAAGCGGGTTCTCCTGGGATTGACGCTCCATGCTCCAAACAGGCCATTAGAGGTGATCACATGGATGTGGAGTCAGAGAAGCTGCAGCCTGATGAGCTCTCTCAGGAAAAAAAGATTAAATGAGTCACAGAATCGCAATTGACTGTTCCGTCAGAGATATAGAAGGAAGATATTCATCTGCTGCACAAACCAAGGAAAGCTTTAAAGGTTCAGTGTGTAAGATTTAGCAGAAAATAATCTACTGGCATAAATTTAATATAAAATAACCCTAGTGATGGTTTCACTAGTGTGTTTCATCAAAATTGTATTAATTGTTGTTTTATATACCCTAGAAGAGGCCCTTTGTATTTAAACACTTTATATTTACATTGAGGGGACCCTCTCTACGGAGGCCGCCATGTTTTTTACAGTAGTTCAGACAGGAAAACTAAACACCTTTTGAGTTTTTAGGTTCTCTGACATGTTTGCAAGGAGAGGGTAAGGTGAGGGGTGTTCAGCTGCCACATGCAATTTCACCACTAGATGTCACTAAATTCTACACACTGTACCTTTAACTGGTTAACTGACCTGTTCAAGGGCAAAGAATATATGCTGGTAACTTTTTTTCAGATTTGTGCTAAAATGAGTCTAATTAAGTCATTTATCAAACAAAAACACAAAAAATGTGCTTCTTTTGGATTCTCAAATATGAGCCTGTGCGTTTGTGTGTGTGTCTCTGTGTGTCTGTGTGTGTTATAGATATATTGAAAAGAGGAAACAGTGTGGTAAAGGTTTCTTTTAACAAACTAGTTTACTTACCAGCTGTGGCTCAGCTGTGATGTGCACTCAGACAGATGTGCTGCAGACATTGCTGACTCAGATAATTATAAACAATGAAGTCGGAGGGTGCTCTACTGGACAAACTACGTGATGACAGCACTTTTAAATTACCTCAAGCATCTGTCATTGCATTATGTTCTGTAAAGTGAAGTTTTTATATCTGTTAACATACACACTGATACCAATGTGTCTGTGATAGGCCAATATCAGCAAATAAAATCAGATGACTGATATTTGTTCTGGCTCAACTTTTCTCTTCATTTTATAATTTTACATGTTGCAAATCAACCTTGTTTTTGGGACTGTATCTGTTCTGACTGTGCTTTGACTGACAGATTTACCCAATGAACATCACCTCCTCTATTATTCCCTGTCAAAATCACTGCTGAAAAACTCACCTGAATTCTGATTTTGTTGCATCAGAGGAATCTTGTTCGGTGACTGATTTGTCTTCTGTGGCACAGTGGGTGGAGCAGGTTGTCTGGTTACCAGGAGGTCAATGGTTTGATCCCATTTTCCCTAAAGTGTCTTTTAGAAAGATACTGGACCCCAAATTGTCCCTGATGGCTGTGCTGGCAGTGTGTGACTAATGTGTGACAGAGAATGTGCTGCACATTGAGGCGTTGTTTGTGTGAATTGTAAAACTGTACTGTAAATACAGACCATTCGCCATTTACATTAATTCCACACATTTATCCTCTGGACACGTGTTGATTCTGTGACTGCTCCTGTATCACCACAGCAGGCCAAACCGAGCAGCTTGCCCTGGCAGCCAGGGGCCCCCAACAACAACAGCAACAGCAGCCTGCCTGCCTCCTACAGTAACGGCCAGAGCAAGGTGGTTGCTTGGCTGCAGGAATCAGAGGAGATGGACAAGTGTGCAGAGGGTAAGAGCAAGATCCTGTTTTTATGCTGCCAACAAATCTGATTTTACAAAAGGAGTTGATTAGATCAAGCCTGAGGCCTTTATGATAAGTCCTTCGAAAAACCCCTCAGAGGAGTATTGATGACCATTTCATGACACGCAACACTGAATCTGTCTGTGTGGGTGTGAATTTCATTTTCAGAGCTCGCTCGATGCCACTCGAACCTGACAGAGCTGAGCCGGTTACTGCAGAGCCTGGAGATTCTGCAAAGGACTCAGTCAGCACCCAACTTCACAGATATGCAGGTAAACACACACTCACACACACACATGAAGAGCAGGTGAAGCAATGTCATTTAGCAGTTTCTTTTAATATTGTATTGTGGACTGTATGCGTGTGTTGCTCAGAAGCCCATTTATACTTTATACTCAGTTAAAGATATAGATATGTCAGTCTAAGAAAAGCTACTTCCTTTGAAACACTGGATTCAGTGGTGCTCACAGCTACCTGCTACCTGCTTCTCTAATTGATCACAATCTATTTTATGTTTGATTATAGTTTTTGGCTGAGATGCATCTTTTAACACCACATATTGCATTTGCTAAACATAATTTTTGTTTGCTGCTCATTTGTGGCAGTGTCTTTTTTGTCATTTCACTGCAATCGGTGTGTAAATTTTGCTTTCTTTGTGATGTGTTTGTCCCATTAACCGCAATTTGCATATTTTGCTCCATGTGTGCCACAAAGACCAATTGTGTAGAATTGTCAAAGAAAGAAAAGCGCTTGAACAGAAGATGGAGAACAAAAAGTGTTGGCAAAGACGCAAAATTCCAGCTTCAGGTACCTCTCTTCAGATTTCTGCTCCATCTATATTATGTACAGACCATAGACCATATAATAATAAAACTATATAAAGATGGACAACGGGTCTTCKCCCCCCCCCCCCCACCCAAACACCTACAGAAATGAAGCCAAAATATCCCACAAATGAACACTGCTATCTTAAGATTTTCATGTCATTTGGAGCCAGATTCTTCGCAGCAAGAACATTTGAACATACATGGGTTTGATAAGAACTACCTACAATGACAGAAACTCATTTGATTTGTAGTACTTTGACTTTTTGTTTGGTCTGTGTCCCATCTTTAAACATGGAGGATGCAGAATTATCTATACTGCAGCCAACCAGCGGGTGGCAGTCAAGGTGCTTTGGCTTCACTCTTGGGAGCTGTCGTCCGTCTTTATATACAGTCTATTTGTAAGGAAACAATCACACAGACAGATTTTGACCATAAGAGGGTTTTATTATGTTATTAATTAATAAGTCGGGGCACAGAAATCTCATCATTAACAACTGATCAATTATTCATGGAATCTCACAAGAAAAACAGCAAAGATTCACAACAATAACTATCATTTAAGATTTAATGTGTTTGAGTCTTGAAGAATCTGAACTCTCTCTCTCTGTGCCTCGTTGTAGAAGATGCCTTTAATGTTTTCTTTCTCTTTTGTTCTTTTCTATTGTTGAATCACTCTGCTCTACAACCTACACTTATTCGTGTGGTGTGTCATGGTCTGAGTAATTATTTCTCCATCTTTGCTAATTCACCTTGATTTTGCTTAATATATTAATATATGCCTCCTGAAAAAAATGTATATGCCTAAATATACACCAGAGCCCGACCGACATAGATTTTTGGGTGGTGACGCCGATGCCGATATATTGAAGAAATTGGTAATGATTCCCAAGATGTTGTCTTCAAACCCTTATGACAAAGAAATCAAATTGAGGTTTGATATTTCAAACTCAATCATAAATGTAAATAAAGAAAAAAAAGAAAACTCAAATTCAAATAAATATATAGAGCTTGACTCTTAACGATCAATTTTTAATGGCCACTCAATAAATCGGTCAGGCTCTATTTCACACAGTGGCTCTTAATCGACCTCCATCGTGAATGGGATTCATGATTTTTTCATGAACGTATAAGTGATGAATGAACCTCTTTAGTAGTCAACTATATTCATTTCTTCAACTACAACAAGCCATTCAAAGACAGCCAGGATGGAGGATTGACAGTGGTTTTCTCTGGTCATCATTTCCCTCCAGGTCCCTCTGTCTGCCAGCATGTCCCCTGTCCGCCTCCACTCATCCAATCCCAACCTGTGTGCCGAGCTAGTGGACTTTCAGCCCCCCGTCTCCCGGCTGACCGACAGCGTTGAGTGTGCCAGCGACTACATTAAACTTCAGGAGGAATTCTGCACCATCGCACAGAAAGGTAAGCAGATAGTGTAAATTGTGGGATACGTCCCAAAATATGTACGTAATCTTAAAGGATTATTCTCGTTAAAAACATTTAGATCTTTTATTTGCACGGGCTGTCTGTTTGTTATGATAGTGTTCCTCTAAAAGTCATTGTGGAGATTTCAGAACATTGCAACATCTGTCATGAGCATCAAACACCAGCAGTCTGAGGTTTAGCCAGATTTGAAACAAATCTGCACATTAGATAAACATCGTTGGAGGATAAAATAAATACAAACAGTAAATTTTTTAACCAACACCTTTCACAGACGACTGGTTGGTTCAACCTTACCTTTCATACTGTCAGTAGTGATGTGCAAAGAGTTTGTGCAGTGAGGGACGACATTTTGGGTGAATAGTGCACAAAGTTCACTGAAATGATGACTTGTTTGAAACCTGTATGTTGATCTGAAAACATGAGTTTCACCAGTTAGAATTTTTTTTGATGTAGCTACGTCACAGCGTGATTCACACAATATCATCTTAACCAAACCCAAGAGTGGATTGCATTTAAAGACAATCAAGACAAGTTAAATAAAAGAATGAAACCCACTAACATTTTTAAGACTGTGTGTATATGTAGAAATGTGTCCACGGAAACTGTAACACTCGGCGAAGGCATACAACCGCAGTGAGGTAATTACAGATTTCCACACTACCATACATTTTTCATTTTGCTCTATCCCTGTACAGTCCACTCTCTGTTGAAGTCGGCCTTCAACACTGTGGCCATAGAGAAAGAGAAGATCAAACAGATCCTGTCTGACCAGGAACAGTCGGATCAGTCGACGCAGATCAACTCTCTCAGGAAGTCTCTGTCACAGGTAATGAGCTCTGTTTACCCCAATTATTCTTCAGTTAATCTGAGCCTTTGTCCCACTTAAGCCCTTTTCAGACATGAATTTTGGATAATGTCCAAAAAAATGTAGAGCACACAGGAGACAGGACATACCTTTACCTTTCAAAGTCGACATCTTCGTCTGAGCCTTCTACTTGTATCGCACCTTTCTGCCTTGAGATATTTGTATTCTTCTAGGTTTGCGTCTTTAAGAGACTCTTTTAAGAGTGTTAGAGAAGCCCACTCCCCTGCTGTTCTTACGATGCTTACGATTTTCCAGCTGTACTCTCACATGAGCTCACTCTGACATTTTCCAAACATTTCACCAGGGAACTGGCAAGAAACGTTCTGGAGAATTAACAACTCTAACATTTTTGCATAATTCTAGGAGAATGTCCGGAGTTTAATCCATGTCTGAAAGCATTAATACAACATTTGGTTACTTTAAATTAAAAAATTTCTGGTGCCTTTTTATCATCTCATTACTCAAGAAATTACTGCAGTAATTTGAGTAATATCTCTTTGGTGTCTTTAAACTGAAACTCATTTTTGTAGTTGTCATGTTTTAAGATTCGCTCATGATCACAGGCTGTCAGATAAAACACACAAGCTGCAGTTTATTCTGAGCTGTCACGACAATCATAATTTAAAATGATGATGAGAGCAGAGGTAAGTGAGTCGTGGAAGCCCAATCATTTTCCCTATATTAATTGGTGACAGAGAAAAATGTAAACTGTGGTTCATTAGCTCTGCTCCTCAGGGCCACTTCTCTAGATCACTCATTTAATTGGCCTGGAACTCTGCTAACAGTTGACATCATTTCAGTGAAATGTTTCTGCTGCTTTATCTCTTCTTTGTGCCTAATTGGATGTTTGTGTGACAATGTTGGAACCGGCAGGAGGACAGCTTTTTATGACAAGGTTTATGGTCAGGAGTCGAGGTTGTTACAGCTGCAGCTGCTGATGTGACCTATTTTAATCCCTGCAGGGAGGTACTGAGGGATGTCTTAATTTTGAATTTCTTAATTTAACACATACAAACATACCTGAACTATTTTGTTTGGTCTCTTGGGGGAAACAGAAACAAGCTCTAAAGACAACTTGTTGACATAAATCACCTCAGCTTAAATGGACAGTGCACCAAAAAATTTAAATTCACTCATTATCTACTCACCCCTATGCCATTGGAGGGGTGGGTGAAATGTTTGAGTCCACAAAACACTTTTGGAGTCTCAGGGGTAAACAGTGTTTAAGCCAAATCCAATACAATTAAAGTAAATGGGACCCCTTCTCCAGACTTAAAAAACATGCTGCGCTAGTGGTGTCTGTCAAGTGTCTGTAAGCCCCGACATTCATATTTGACTAGAAACGGCAATTATCAGCGGATAATTGTGGGCTGAGAGTCAATAGTTAGTAGTTATGGTTGCATTTCTGTGGACAGAATAACAACTGTGGATTTTGTCCCCCATCTCTTCCTGTTTAGTTTCTTTAGTAAGCGATAGTGATCTGTTCTTAGCTGCTATGGTACGAAGAAGCAACCAAAGAAAAACTTTCCGTGAGTTTTCTGTATTGATAGGAATATCAGCTCAACCCTAAATGAAACAACCATTGAAAACCTATTGTGCTGCGGTGATATATCAGCGTATAGTTGCATATAAAACAAAATGAATGTGTTTTTTGTCATCCAGGCCCTGTCCCAAAACGCAGAGCTTCGAACTCGACTCAGCCGCATCCACTCTGAATCTGTCCTGACTGAACAAGTTGTCAGTGTGAACATAATCTCCACGCCTGACGAGGTACGTCACTTTGAACATCCGTCACTGATAAGGTTCATGTCTGACTCACTGTATTACTGAAACTCAAGGTAGTTCGTATGGTTGCTTCCTGTATTTGTCGAATGCATTATTGATTCCAGTCCTTATAGACTGGTGGTGTTTCCAGTTCGCCCTGGCAGGTAAGCTCATAGATCATGATTCTATGCAGAACCTGACATCAAGGTTAATGGAAAAAATTTACAAATTAGTAACGGATGGGGGCTTGGCCTCTGGCAAGGATACAAATGCTGCAAGATGAAGTCTGTGTTTGTTCAGGGCTGCTTTTGGTTCTGAACTGTCACTACAGCGAGGAACAGTGAACGTCTTGTGTGTTTACCTGCAGGCCGTGGAACAGATGGGGATCCCTCTGACTCAGCAGGCCTCTAATGAGAGCCGACTCTCCATGTCAGAGTCTGTCTCTGAGTTCTTTGACGCCCAAGAAGTGCTTCTGTCAGCCAGCTCGTCGGAGAATGAGGTATAACAGGGGAAGGTTGAGACGGGAATAAGAGCTATACGAAGCAGAATTGGATCAAATAAGGCGGGGGGCTGAATTTCTGGATGTGCAGGGATGGAGATGTTTGGAAACAATGACGTTTGCTGATCGGGACTTTTTGGTCACAACGTTCGTCAGGATCCTATCACATGACCCCCTTCATTTTCAGTTACAGTTCCACCTCGTAATCCACCCGAGCTAAGAAACCCCTCCTCATGCTTTTAGCCATTGCTGCTCCTCATTTGTTGCTCAGCTCTTTCTGCAACTAACAACAAAATGTATCCTGCATACACTGGCACACGCATGCCTGGTTTACATAAGAGGTCACGAGTATGGACATGGATTAAAACTGATACAGACAGAGATTGTTTTAAAACGTAATAGTTTGGATGTACCCCAGATAAAAGCTGGAGCTAGCCTGCAGTTAATGAGAGCAGAAAGTAAAGCAGCAAAAGCTTATGACGAAATCTCGGGTCACTCAGGAGGGCTATTTTTTGTGTCTGAGAATAATAACTCTCCTCTTCTGTCTGTTTCTCTTGATTTGCAGCATCTGGCTTTGTTAAAAAGGACGTTTGTTCCATCACTTGAAACAATAATTTCACCCTCTCTCCCCCTTTTAACTCCTGCGAACACCCTGCTCCAAACAAAGTGGTCTCTGAGGAGCCATTAAGCATCGTAGCTCTCCAGGCCTTACACTGATCCATGTTGAAGGATTGAATCATCAACCTTCCCTCCACACACAGTCCAGTAGCTCAGCAGACCCACTCAGACCAGTGCTACACTGTCAGTGAACGTTCCCCAGCAGCAGGTGACTGTAATAGAGGTTATTACGGCGAGTGGCGACAATATGCTCCTTTTCAGCAACGTCAATGGCCTAATGGTGTTTCTATATATAAAGTATGAAAATGCTGCAGTGTCTTATCTCATGATTACTGCATTGGGACAGATAGCCGGCGACTGCTGCAGTTTGTTGGCGTCTGGCAAACTACAGTTGTGTGTGTGTGTGGCTGAGGCAGTTCTGCAGTTCTGATTCTGACTCCGCTCTGTACCTGTCTCTCTCTCAGGGCTCAGACGATGAGTCATATGTCAGCGATGTGAGCGATAACATTTCCGAGGACAACGCCAGTGTGACTGATAACGTCTCCAGACAAAGTAGGTCCAATACTGCACTGTCACAGGCCTCCGCGCCTCCACTTCTACAGTACTGTAAGAAATGCCAAAAGCATTCACAAAGGAGAGGATCCGGCTCAGGGCTCCTCACACAGACACAAACTCATTTATCTGAGCGGCCGAGGCAGTTGACCTTGCAGTGTTGCTCTGTGCCAAGGATTCCTCCTCCTCAGCTTTATAAAAGCGACAGCTCTGTGTACGGAGAGGTGGGATCTCCCTCCGACATCTTTGTCACATACCACACAGGGATGTTAAACTTATGAATGAAAACACTCTAGGTTCCTGTACAAGTCTAAAAAAGTACAGGAATGTTAATTGTATTTCAGAAACAATATGTAAAGATATGTTTTGTCCATTTTCAAGTAGAACCATTTTAATATATGTGATGTTTGGAACTATGAACCTGTAGCTGATTGACCACTTCACACTGGTTGACTTCCCTACACTGGCCCTCAGTTTGTCTTTCAGGGTCTGATTTAAAATCGTATTGATTACTGCAAAGCCTCCTAGTGACCTGGTTCCTCTCTGTATATCAGACCTTCACCTCCGATTCGATTCAGTACGAAGCTTCTTGAGAACCTCAGGCAGACGAGCTGTATTATATCCCACAGCCTGCACCAGGCTCACAAGCTGAGGACACAGCATTTCCACTTCTAATCCTGCACCTCTAGAACAATCTGTCCTCAGGAAGCTCAGTGACAGAGTCGAACTCAACTTTTAAATCTCTTTTAAAAACATTATTTTAACAGGAGCTCAGCCTGACCCAGCTGGAATTTTCTCTTTCACTTGATATTTTTTGAATTGTCTCCGAAATAGGTTGAAAAGCACCAGAATCCCCCTTGAATCAGCTTTTCCTGCCATGAATAAAAATCTCATCTCAGCTCCTGGAAATAGAGAGTTTATTTGACATTTTTGCATAAAAAGTGGCAATGAATAAATTGTGAAAATATGAACCAAACTCATTTTAAAAATTCCTCTTATCATGTAAAATATGTAAGAGCATGTTCCCATCGACGGCTCTGACAGGTGTAAATGTTGTAACCTCTTGTTTTCCCAGTGGCCAATGGAGACTTTGCTGGCAGTGCCTTCCGCAACGGGCGACGCACCTGCCTGCCGGCGCCGTGTCCCGACACCAGCAACATCAACCTCTGGAACATCTTGAGAAACAACATCGGTAAAGATCTGTCCAAAGTGTCCATGCCAGTGGAGCTCAACGAGCCCCTCAATACCCTGCAGCGCATGTGTGAAGAGCTGGAGTACAGCGAGCTGCTGGACAAGGCTGCAGAGACAGAGGACCCCTTCGAACGCATGGTAAAGTGTCACATACGTCATTAACGGGTACTTTGTATGGAGAATGATAACTATTCTCTATCTGATGTTTTCTTTTGCTCTGTAGATGTTTCTACTCACATCTTAAATTCCTGCTAGTGTCTTTGTCAATCACAAGCCAACGTACAATATTCTCTCATTCATGTCTGAGACGTGACAGCACACTCTAATGTAGCTGTTCACCTCAGATCCTCCCACTTTCATCTGTCTTCATCACTCTGTTCCTGACAACGCCTGTTAATATGAGCTGGTTCATCTCATCTTTGTCTTGTTTTGACTCTCACAGGTTCTTGTTGCCGCTTTTGCCATCTCAGGCTACTCGTCCACTTACTATAGAGCAGGAAGTAAGCCATTCAACCCTCTGCTCGGAGAGACTTATGAATGTATTCGTGAAGACAAGGGCTTCTGTTTTTTCTCGGAACAGGTACGTGTGTTCACAGATTACTTAACCAGTGGTTTCAAAACTGTTTAACTACTAATAACAAACCTTGCATTTTTATTTCTTAACATCTTGCAAACATTGACCTGCTGACATGAAATCAACCAAAGACAGTTTATTGTCTTTATTTCTAATAATTTTAGCTTTTGGAAATCTGAAATGATTAATTCGATAAATAAAATCTTCATGACAAAGACAAGATTAAAATTGAAATAAGCAGAAAATCTGCCTTTTCACTAAAGATCATGTAAACCAGCTATGATGTGTAATCTCAACAACAACAACAGCTGTCAGACTGTATCTATTTGATCTTCTCTCGAAGGTGAGCCACCACCCTCCCATCTCCACCTCTCACTGTGAGTCCAAGAACTTCACCCTCTGGCAAGGTACGTTACCTTTCTAATTGGAGAGGGATCTTACTCATGGGGAACTGAGGCTTAGCAGATGAGCCAGAACGACTAATTTAACCTCTTTAATATGCAGATTAATCTCTATAGAACAGATTTCATGACTTAAAATTTCAGAATATGCTGAAATTAGGAAGTATGTTTTCATTTGTATGTTTTTACTATTTTGCTCTTTCAGATGTGAGATGGAAAAACAAATTCTGGGGAAAGTCGATGGAGATTTTACCAATAGGGAGCGTGAACCTCATGATTCCCAGGTAACTGATCCAGATAGTTTGTTTCTTGGTTTAAACCTGAAGTCAGAAACTTCCTCTTAACAATTAAGGCATTACATCATCTCAGCTGCTTCATGTCATCTGTGTTCTTTTAATCACCAGTTTATAACTTTTAAATTGCTTTCACATCAACATCCAAATTATAATTATGACTCTAAGGGACTGATTGTTTCTAGAAACTCTACTATATCTGAGTTTGCACTAAACCAGCTGTTTGTAGTTTGGTACACACCCATATGGCTCAGTGGTAATTAAACCTGAAAACAAATAGTTTTATCAGTGCCACCTGCTCCCTGACAGCTCTGAATAATACATACTTGAAACTGAAAACCACATAAGTAGAAACTTCACACCAACTAAAAGTTAAAGTACATGTAAATACAAATTTGTGGCTAAGAGGAATCCACAAGAGGATGGAGCCATGAATAAAGCCCTTGACTGGGAAGTTTGTGGAGGGGTGCACATTTTTATCCCTCAAATCATTTAGACATTAAAACTGAAAATGCAAGATTAGATGAGCTGCATTAAAACTAGATCAAGATTTTCTTTTTTAGTGATCAACATCTGTCTTTTAAAGAAACCAAATTGATCTGGAATAAAACCAAGACAAAAACGAGTCGGGTGCTCAGCCACTTAAGATCCCTGCCAAGGCTGATTTGCACCCCCCCACCCCCACCTTACAGAAAACTTTATTGAAATCTGTGAAAATGTCAACAAACGCTCTAATAATAATAAAGAAAGTGAAAAAAAATCCTGAATCTGCCCCCTGATCTGGATCTGCAACAAAATGAAATGGGTTCTTTCCTGAGTAATACCACATCCTTCCATCAAGTTTCATGTTCATCTGTTCAGTAGTGTTTATTGCTGCCAAATTACAAATGTAGATGAAAACAGGACCTCCTTGGTGGAGGTAGTAAGGTTTTTATTGAGTCATATTGTTTAGCAGTACCCTGTGGCAGCACCTCGAGGAAATAACCTGCTGTTGTGTCTCTCTAGGTTTGGCGATCACTACGAGTGGAACAAAGTCACCACCTGCGTACACAACATCCTTAGCGGACGACGGTGGATCGAACATTACGGAGAGATCACCATCAGAAACACAAAGAGTAGCGCCTGTCTCTGCAAACTCACCTTTGTCAAGGTACAGAGATGTTTCTGACAGTTATTAGAAAATATATTTATTACCCTTTTCATTGTTGAGTTCAAATATTATAACTAATGTTTCTGCCCACAACAGGCAAAAAGAAAATATTCATGAGGGAATACAATACTTGTTTAATCTCTCTAAACTTTAGTTTTTCATGCCTTTCAAGATTTTTACAAATTTGTCAAAATCCTGTTTGAGAATCATTCTTAATGCTACAGTCCTTTATTTTGTCTTTTGATGTGTTTGCTTCTTTATTATGTAAAATATGTTTATTATGTTTTATATTTTATATAAAAAGTAAATCAACGTATCATAAATCTAAGCTGATGGTGTTGGATTTGTCTTTCAGGGAAACTACTGGAGTTCTAATGTGAACGAGGTTCAAGGATTTGTGATGGATCAAGAAGGGAAAGTGATTCACAGGCTTTTTGGGAAATGGCACGAGGGCCTTTACTGCGGTGTCCCACCTTCTGCCAAATGCGTCTGGAGGCCAGGTAGACGTTACTTCTTCACCCACACTCATATCCGGACTTGAGTTGAAGTTTTACTGGTCGTTTAAAGTGCACGTGAAGTTTTGATTTTGCACCTGACACAAGCCAGTGGATGTTGTTTCAGTGATTTTAAGATGCTCTTCATGTCGCCCTCTCCTCGTCAGGCTCCATGCCCACAGACTACGAGCTGTACTACGGCTTCACCAGGTTCGCTATTGAACTGAATGAGCTTTGCCCCGAGTTAAAGGATGTTTTGCCGCGTACAGATGCCAGATTCAGGCCCGATCAAAGGTACAGCACTAAAACTAGACTGTAACATCAGTGAATTGCTTTCGTCTGATGATATCAGAGCTCAATATTGAGTTGCGTGACCTTTTGTCAATGCGCTTCATGTGTCCGTCTGATTCTCTGTCTGCGTTCACTGACACATTTGATTTTTCTGTCACGCAGGCATCTTGAAGAAGGGAACTTGGAGATGGCGTCCTCAGAGAAGCAGCGTATAGAGGACATGCAGAGAGCCCGGCGGAAGTGGACCGATGAGAACGAAATCAAACAGGAGCCGCGCTTCTTCAAGTAAGAACAGAGAGCAGATGTGTGAAGCTCTGTGGGTTCTTACCTGAAACCGTGTGTACGCTCATAGACTGAAATATACAGATTCATGTTTCATGTATAGAACAGTGAGCACTACAAATGTATTAGAATCTCATTAAGACACAAGGCTCTAATTCTACTCCCAGTGTTAATTGTTAAGAATTCAGCCTGTGAATGAAAAGTAACTCAGTTGTGTCATTTAACTGACTGAGTCACATTTGCAACACTACTGCCTGTTCTTATCATTGATTCATCAAATGTGCCTGTAAACCACCATCAGCTTTTATACCTCATTATATTTCTTCATCATTAAACTTTAGAATCATAGTGATCAGTAGATTTCACAGTCTATCATTTTATAGGATGAAAGGACAAATGGCGCAAACAGTGAAATTTAAATTAATCACAGTAATTAATCAAATTTTACAGAAGGTCAAAGACGTTCTTTCTTCTCAAACTTTCTCAATGTCAGTTTATGTTCAGGAGATAGTGTAGTTTTTTTTGGTTATTGGTTATTTGCCATCCAGGATAACATCAGCCTGATCGTTCCTCCATGTGTTTGTGAATTACATTTTTATGTCTCAGTGATAATTGCTATTTGGGGGCCAAAGGTCACGGTCATGTGACCACGTTATTTTCAGAAGCCCTTGATAGAATCCTTTGAAATTTGACGCAAATGTACACTTAGAGTCATAAATGAAGGGATTAGATTTCAGTGGTCACGGTGGACTTACATTATTGTGATGCAATAAGTCAGGAATACCTGGATGGACTGAAGCTACGCTGGTCTGTGGAGGACTACAATGACAGGGCGATAGTTCTATTTTGGTTACAGCTTCATTACTTACCACCGTCACTTGTGTGTTTTCTTCCAGGAAAGTGGTTGATGCAAACCACAGGGAGAGGTGGGTCTCCAACAACACGTACTGGGAGCTGCGCAAAAACCCCGGCTTCATCAACATGGAATCCACAGTGAACCTGTGGTAGCAAACGGATTATATGGTCCCTCATACCATCATCACACACAGGAAGGCTGTTACCTATGCACAATAAGGTGTGAAGAGAAACGTGTGACGGATAAAACATCGGTGTGCATGGAGAGGAGCGGCTGCAGAGCTGGACGATGGCCCGGTGTCCAGCGACCCTGTCGGGCTTCTGTGGTGCTCGGTCATCCACCCATGGAAACATCCAGTAGGATCTCCTTCATCGTGCTTCTCCGTGCTGGGTTGTCAGGGCAACAATCGTAACACTTCTATGTAGATCTTTTCCTCAGCTCCTTTGTTGTCTGAGTATGTCCTTGCCTTAAAACGACACGTCACACGATTTAGCGCGTTTTAGTTAAAGCCATTCTGACAGCCGTTTGGGTTAGACTAGTCTCTGAAGTAGACGTTTTGATTACCTACAATACTGTGCATGTTTAGAGAGCAGCTTTCACTGGCGTAAAGCCGCATTTACTGTTTCATCGATTATTGTAGAAAAAAAGAGGTATTTTTATAAAATATCTTGGACTCAGAATTTAGTGTAAAAGTACTATGGGAATTGGCAGATTTTATTTATTCTTGCCTTTTAATACTGTTGAATCTGTGTGATAGCAGTACTGTCTCTCGGGAAGCAGCCCATTTACATTTTGAACCTCCCCTCCCTCCCCCAACTCGGCCGAGCCTCGCTTCAGTCATCACTCCTTGCCCTCCCCTGTCCCATGGTCTAATTAAAAAACACAGTCATGAAACCATCGTATGGTTGCACAATTACTTACATACATCACTCCCTCTGCAGTCAGCATGTCTTCTGAATGTGGTGCAGTAAATGTTTCCATCCGTGAATTATACTGCAAGTTTCATAGTAATCCGTTTGGTATTTTCTGTGTAATCCTTCGAACTGGAAACACAACCTCCTTGGCGGTAAACAGAAGGGCGACTGGAGAGAGCATTCCTCTACCAAGGCTAATGCCTTCTCTCTGTATATGAATACATATCTCAGTACTGTTATAGAGTTGAGTAATCCTACCAATGAATAAACAGTCAAACAAGTGCAGATGAACACATGATAAATATAAAGGGAAGTGGTCTGATATCCTAAATTATTTATTTGTCATAAAACATTGTCCTAAATAGTGAAAAGTTAAGATATGTGCATTGTTCCTTGAAAAAACCATAAACATGTTGAAAAATGCTCCATGTTTTAATGTTGAAGAGAAAAAAGAATCCTACATCTGCCCCTTAATCCTCATCAGAACCAAAAGATATTGGTTCCCTCCCACACGCCAACTACTTTAGTAGTGTTTGCATAATTCAGCTTTTAAACAAACAAACAGATACAGTTGAAAACATAACCTATATAATGGAGGTTTAAAGAAAATATGTATTTCCATTATGTGAAGCAGTTTTCCAAATGAACGTCCTTGTTCTGACTTACAACCAAAACTCTTTATATGTTCTGGAACAAAGAAAAGTAGTAAATCCTACCAGCAAATGTTGTTTTTCCAGATCACCAACATTACTATTTAGTTATCAAACAGTTTTCTTGTGATTGATTAATTAACGAATCAGTTAAATATGTCAGTGAGTCACCTGCACAGCAACGAAACACCAGAGACACCTACAGGTCATCGTATGAAAATGCAGCTTCAGGAAACAAGGATACTTCTGTACAGTAACAATGAAAATACTGAACCAGCTTTAAAGCTTTGATCGTAATGTGTCTGATTCCCCAGAGACTTGACTGCTATGGTGGTTCTGCAAAGCACCAGTTACTTATTTCTATATTTATTGCAAAGCAAATTAGCTTTAACACTTTTGTGTTATAGAGTAAGAAAATATACCGCAGGGTTTTAGATTGAAACCCCAACACACGCGAGTGGCCACACGTTCTCCGCGTGTCCGGGAGCTCATGCCTCGTTCAGGACTGCAGGCTGACGGCGTGAAAATATAAATATGTAGAGTGAAAACTATGTGAAGCAAATCCATCCTGTGTGCACTGTTCACATGGTACTGTAGATTACAAAACCAAAAACATGTTACTGCTTTGCACCCATAGACTTTTTTCTTTAAGTATGAAAATGTGCTTTTAATTTGATCCCAGGTCACAAACTCCAATGCTACAACTCATCAGTTTCACTCGCTGTGCCTTAACGCATTTTATTAATGCCTCACAAACACACTGCTGATGAGAAGCCCCCCCCCCACACACACACGCCAAGAATAAGGCCCGCCAGTAACAAATCCGACTCGGCCCATTCTCCACCTGCCTGCACACGATCGAGTATATCAAGGAGTTAGCTGTTCACAGATGTTCCCCACTGCTCCACCTAATCAGTACTTTTCTTGGCGATCACTGTAAATACAGCACATTTTAGAAGAAGATGGGTGAGGACTGTCAGAGACGATTCCTCCTACATCTGCTGATTTATTTTTAATGAGACTGAATCTCAGCGGTTGTGAGTGGAGGCGATGATTAGTAGTGTTTGAGTCATAGTGTCAGACTGTAGTGAAAAAGAAAACAAAAAAAATCTAAAAAATCGTGAAATCTTTTCATGCTTTCTTTGTCCATTATTCAACCTGCATGTCTAGACAACTTAGCCTGCCAATGAATGTTGCAGATGCCTTAGAAAAAAGACGTTTTTCTTTTTCCAATTGGACTCTCATGTTTTTTTTGAATTAGTTTCGGACTGACATGTATCACAGTTTTTTTTTCAATCTTTTCAATCCTAATGGGTACCTTCTAAAGTGCAATTTTAACAAAGTACATATCTTTCCATGAACACCGTACACTGCTGCTACATAGTGCTTGTTCTAATAAAACTGTAAAACAATTGAGGAACATGTGGTTTGTATGTAAAAGATATGGTCATAAAAGTTTAAGTTCAATAAGGACGACTTTCTCTGTCCCATTCATTCACAATTCTCTCTCCCTCCTCCCCTGCCTCTTTTGATCAGCTGCGATCAGTAATCCAATCAGATTTTGCCATGATCTCGATCAGCCACTCATGTTGTCGCTGTCAAACTTTAAATCTGCGACCCTCCTCCCCTGTCACCTCCAATGTTCGCTCATCTCCTTTAGATCCTCAACATTCTCTAGATCCCTTCAACCACCAGGTTTGAATTATCTTTCAAAAAAAAAAATGGCAGAAAACAGTGAAAAATGTTGGGCCCAGTTTTCAGACACTAAGATGGGGGGGTTGACTCGTCTCTTTTTTTGTCTGAATAACATTTTGAAATCTGAAGGTATTTAGTGTAAAATCCCACAATGAACAAATACTCCAGATTTAGAAGCAAAAACTACGATTGTTGCGTAAAGATTTGAAAGATTAATCAGCTTCCAAAACAGTTTCTGTTCCTTTATCACTGCATCAACTAAAATCAGCTGATTTTATTCTAATTCATGTAGAAGCAAGACCTAGAATAACCGCACTGCGTACTGCTTTGTGACCTTTGACCACTGAAACTTAATCACTTTATCTTTGAGTCCAAGTGACAACTGATGAAAAGTTGAAGAAATTCCCTCAAAAACTCTCCAGAGATCAAAAACAGGTTTTTTGAGGCCACCTTGACCTTTGATCACCAGAATCGAATCAGTGAGTCCAAGTGAATCGCACCAGATGTAATGAAACTTCCTATGGACAGTCCTTATGTGTCACATTCACAGGGATGTGAGGTCCCTGTGACCTTAACCTTTGACCTCCAGGCACCAAAATCTCATCAGTTCATCTCTGGGACCGAGTGAACGAAGAAATTCGCTGAAGGCATTCTTGACATATCGTGTTCACGAGAATGAGACGGACAACCACAAAACATAATGCCTTCGGTCCCTGGCTGTCGTGGAGGCATGAAAATGTGTAAACACAGATCACAAATACAGGTCAAGTTACATTTTGTGCATTTAATTAATAATAAAGAAATATTTTACCCCAATTAGAATTAAAATCGCAAAACTGAAAATCTTAATTTGTCAGTTTCATTCACTGACAACTGCTCCTCCAGGAATCACAGACATCTGCTCTCTCAAAACCTTCTGTTGTTTGACCACTGACAGAAAACAACACGTGTTATCGTTTAGTGCTTGGATTTATTTTCTGGATTTTGTTGCTGCCTTTTTCTCCCAACAATGTGCATACAGCCGAGGACACCATCAGTAACTGCATTTAATACATCACAGGATTTACTTCTAGGTTCTATGGTGCACACTGCAGAGAACAGACCAGCAGAAAGAGCAAACAGTCAAATAAAGATGTTTTATGTTTCGTGAGAGTCGAACATTTGGTTGTTTGATTTTCAAATTTAAAATGTCAAAAATAATCTCTCCTCATCAATTCCCTTTGGTATTCAGGTCACTTCAGTTTGTTTAAGTTAAACAACTTTAAATTTAAAGTTTCTATCGACTGTCATAAAACCAGCTGCCGAGAAAAATCTAAGTCACATAAAAAAATAAATTACATCAACTCGAATGTAGATGAAAGCGTCTTGCCTTTAAAAAGGCAAAAAACTTTGTGAGAGAAAATATTGTGGAAAAAAAACAATAAAACCAAGACGTGTAAAAACATCATGAGGAAGTGCTTTATAAAATTCATAGTAGTGTTCTCACTGAACATCCTGCGTAACACATGATTGATTTAGATCTTATCATCAAGTTATTGTGGACCATGAACTGCTTTGTCATATATATATTATTATAAAAAATAAATCTTAACCTCATCCTCGAGCAGGAAGACTAAGTGGTAAGAACACGTGGACATCAGCAGATGTATGGTATGTGACAACGCGGGTGAAGAGGCTGTTGCGACTGCGGTGGCGTTTACTTGGAGGAGGCCTTGATCTTGATGTACTGGAGGGCGCTGTGTGCCGCATCGTTGTGTGCGTTGCTACAGGAAATGCCCGTGCCGTGGCAGACGGTGACCGGGGACGTGGACAGCTCTGCCAGACACTGGTACTGGCCGTTCACCGTCAGCTCATCTGCCAAAGACACACACACAGTTTACAAAGCGGCACAACAGACACAAATAAATATAAAGCAGTGATTCATTTCCCTTGGGAGCTTTGGCCCCAGCCTGTGACCTGAAGGTCCATGGATATTTACCATTAATGATTTTCCTATTCCTTAAACTTGCAATGTGTTACTTTGGCCACTAGGGGTCGCTCAATCAAAGTAATAACAAAAGACCTAGAAAAGATGAAAATCGAACTGATGCGACTAATCGTCTTCACGGATGAGTAAATGTATTCAAGTCAGATTCATGTTACGCAGCAAACGGCAATGAATAACTGTGATCCATAACGAGTGACCTGAAGTTGAGACCGAAATGAAACACCTGCATTACCGTGAAGAAAATTGTGGATTTTCTGGATTTGAACATTGTTGGAAACAGTTTGGATGAGGAAGTATACAAGTCAACAAACAAATACCATAGATCTAGTTGTTTTTCAACATTTTAATGAGGAATTGAAACATATTTTATCTTAAACCGGCAACTATTTTTTTGTTTCAAGAAATTTCCAGACCGAACACCTAAATAAGCTGCTACAGTCAATATTTCAATAAAAATATTGAATACCGCCATTTTAAAGTTACACTCTAGATCACTAGATCGTCATAAAATCTGATCAGATAGAATCACAGATGAAGTGTGGTCTGTCTCACCGATGTTGAAGTACGTGACCTCAAAGCCTTGCTCGTTGGACAGCTCTAACATCATCTGAATGTAATCAGTGTTAGGAATGCTCAGCGGGTTTCTTCTCAGTAAACACATCTTCTCTGCCGGGGAGTTCTTCAAGTTCTCAAACCGGACACTTGGTGTAGGCATCTGAAAATGAAGAGTCAAATGTCAACACAGAAAACTCCATGTGTTGACCAGAGGTGACACAAAAACCCCAAACATTAGAAATATGCAACATACCCATGTGATTTCAGAACAGCCCGACAGACTCTGCAGCTTTGCAAACATTTTCTCTGCAGCTGCCTTTTTAGCCACCTTTTTTGAATTTCCTACAGCTTCAAAACACAACACGAGACGGAGAACAGGATGAACAATGACAAATGAATGTCACTGTAAAGGATTTTACATGAAGATCGCTCGAACCTTTCTCTGCCAGGGACTCCAGCCGACAGGTAACAGTGAACTCTCTCTTGTGTGGTGGACCAGCCTCCATTAAAACTGAGTATTCAGGAAGACGCCACCCTCGGTGCAACGCTAGCTCCTATCAAAAGCCAAAAAGAAAACTGATTGAGACAAGAGAAAAACAGAGTGGGTATTTTATTCATTTTATTTATTTTATCCAATGTGCATATCAGACAAGAAATAATCTGCTACTGACACTTTGAATTAAAGTTGAGTAAATGGGCAAGTAGCTTTCTCTACTTGTGGTTTATCCCTGAAGTTTAAAACACACATATGCAAAGAAACTACCACAACTGCACACAGACAATCCCACTTACACACTTGTGCAAACACACACAAACAGCCCAGCTGTGATTCACACACCTGCAGTATCCCCACTGAGTTTGGATGATTGTTGGTTTCTGCTGCAACTCCGTTACTCTCAGACTTCACAGGAATGATCCTGGTGGGAAACAGAGCAAAGTGTTTACAACACAAACATTCACATCAGGCTGGCAGCTTTATAAGCAGCAGTGTGGGACGTCAACTGAATAATATTTTCTGTATTGACTTATTTTCAAATTACTTTTACAATTAATTGCTTTGGAAATGTTTTAAAAAGAAATAATACGAAAAATTATTTTGTGGTTTCAAAATATTCATGGACATCTTACAATGCATCATAAGTGACATAAAAGGTTGAAATCAAATAAGAGAGGGCTGGACAAGATAAGATGAGGTTATGTTGAGGAAGCTGAGCTCAATATTTGTGTTTTGATGTGTGAGTCCAATAGAATGAAGAGACTTGAAGAGTCACGGTGCAGAGCAGATGAAGGCTCCGGCAGCCACAGCGCTGAGTTTAACAGACCCAGGAGCAGCCTTAGGGCTCAGGAGGGGGTGTGGGGGCAGAGAGCGTCTGGAAGGCAGCAGGTTATGGAGAGCTTCAAAAGTAAGCAGTAGTAATATGTGTTGTCATCCAGTGAAGCTGGATGAAGGGTGGTGTGTTGTGGTCACTGGATGATTTTAGCAGCAGAGTTTTGGATTATTTGTCGTAGGATTATGAGTTTATTGAGTATACCACTAGAAATATTACAGTCACAGTTAACAAATTACTCATGGTAATGTACCAAAGCCCAAAGTGAATGTCCTGAAATGTACGACATTTTCACCAAATAAATATATGAAACTCAAAACAACATCAGCTCACAGTGCTCCAGTGTCTTTTTGCAGGATACTCAGGGCAGCCTCTGCAGCCTGGTGTTTAGCAGCCTTTTTACTGGGACCTTGACCTGCAATACAACACAATTACACACACAACGATTATGTAACAAAGTCCAGAAATTATTTTTCAAAGCACAGTCAGCCTCAAATCACAAGTTAGCCACCCTTGATGTCGGAAGAATAAATCCTCTGTTTAAACTCTGGAAGCCCACAAGGCCACTTTAATCCATTGAGTTTTGATGTAAAGTGTTTAAAGGTGTCAACTAACAGGACTGGAACTGATCAGCTCAACACGGAGAGCTTTGAAAATGCCTTTGTTAACAAAAAAGAAATCAAGGTATATTGAGGACATATTTAAGAGTGAGCTGCAGCAACAGACACAAGTGACAACAAGGCAGAAGAGACAAATAATGTATTGCACAGTGAAAAGAGTAATGTAAGATTTTCAAGTCAAATAATAGGCTTGATTGAGCGACAGGCAGCGATCAGCACAGCAGGGGTGAGACTGTTAATGTACCTGTGCTGCTCACATCTCCGATCTTCACGCTGAAGATGAAGCTGGGCTGGTGAGCCTCCCCCTCTGCCTTCTCCATCACATACACAGGAAGATTTCCCGTTTTGGTGCCATATTCGTGCAGGATTTGTATCGGTGTTTTCCCAGGAAGGTTCCTCTGCGTTTCAACTGGGTTCAAGCTGCGTGAAGTAATGAAGCCAGCAAATTAACCAGAAGCATAATAAAAATGGTGCTGTTGCCATAAATCTCTGTAGTTAACACACTGAAAATAGTGAAAGCAAATATTGTGAGGAGGAGGGAATAACTAATGCAGCATAAACCTAATAATTTTCCGAACAGGTTTTGGAAATTTATTAGAATATGAAACACAGGAAACATCAAAAAAAGACTTTCAAAAATTTAATGAAAGTATTTTTTAACTTGTCAGGATGCTGGTTAATATAAATACTGATTTAGATCAATATTTTGTACTATCAATGAATAAAAGCTCATTATAAATCAAACAAGCTGCTGATTTTCACATGTGAAAAGCTAAAGCCAGTAAGGATTGAATTAATAACCGGTTATTAAAATTAAAAGATGTTTTTTTTGTGTATTGAATGGTTGATTCATCAAACCTGAACGTCACTCAGTAGAGTGCATACCTAGGACCAACACAGTCTCCTTAAACTACATCACGGGCGCACTAAATTTCAAAACATGTTGGATGTTTTTCCATGAATCATTCTCTGAGAAATCAACGAAAATGTTGAAAAACACCTCATCAATTTTACAGACAGTGAAAAGAAATCCTGCTTCTCCTCCCTGCTCTGGATCTGCACCAAAATTGTATGAATTCCTCCCAATCCCATAATGCATCCTTCCACCATGTTTTGTATGAATCCGTCCAGTAGTTTTTGTGTCGTCCTGCTGACTAACAGACACAGATAAAAACATAACCTTGGCAGAGGTAACAACAGAGAAAAGGCTCCAGTAAGGATTGAATTGAGATCAACTTTCTGTGTATTAAACGGTCAAATAATTGTTTTTACCTTTAATCTAGTTCAGCTTCACTAAGCAGCTTCCTCACAGGTGAAACTTAACTGGTGCCACGACTCGACAGCATCGTCTGTGTGACGTCTCCACCAAATCAAACTGTCACGTGAAAGTATCATCATGTTTATTTAAAACATCATCCGATCTTTACACATTGTGTCTGTCTGATATTAGAATCAGAGAATGTGCAGCCATCACTCGCTTTTATCAAACTGTATGTGAGAAATGATTCTGCCCTGAATGTGATATTATAAAGACCCTGAATATAATCACAATAACAATAATATAACTTTATTTGAATAACACAAATCTAAACAAGGAAACGAAGCTCTACACAAACTTCCTGGCAATAACAATTTAAAGTAATTAACATATTCAATTTAAAATATATGACTATAACCAGGAAAGCAAAAGTGTTCAGAAACACACATGTGCCCCATGGAGCTGACCAGGACGACCACAGCCTGGTGTGCAGCTAAATGATCCACAGAAGCGGCTGCAGGTAAGCTGCCTTGCTCAGGGGCACTTGATCAGGGTATTTTACTATCGGCCTGATTTAGTGTGAGGATCCAGCTTCTGTGAAGAAGTCTCCATTATTCAGTTCAGACGTCAGGCTCCAGTGACATGTGGTGAACTCGCATCTTCCGAAACATGAGGTCAATCAAATGTGTATCGATCTGGTTCCTGTGTCTGTGGTTCGAGAGAAACATCGACCTCTAGTGTCTCGGTAGTTTAACACTCGAACACACTTTAGATAATGAAAGTGATTTAAGAACCACGTACCTGGAGTCTGCGGCGGTTTTCACAGCTGCTGACTGAAAAAGCTTCTGCGCCATGTTGCTTTGTGTTTGTAACTTCCTGTTTTCAGCTGGAGAATATCTGACAACGCTTTAATAGATGTTTGAACTGAGCGTCAGGTTTTTTATGTGACCGTGAAGAAAATTAAAACGAAGCTCCTCATTGTGACCTGACCAGGAAATCACCTGCTGTAACATCATATCAACATCCGGGTCAGCGGCGGGTCAACTCATGTGACTTGCGCTAAATTTGTTTACCGCCACCTGCCGGCGAGAGAAGGTCACTGAGGGCGTTTCACTCATTGGTGATTTCACTGCAGGAAAAACAAAACTTATAACTCCACACAGCAGGAGTGCAATCATCAAGTTAGAAAAAAGAATACATGCAGGAAACCTGGAATCAGCAAAGAAATAAGGTTTCAATTTTAGATGAACCTCCATATAAACACTGGAGCAATTACATAAACCACTATAATTAACCACCATATACTGACATACTTCTGATGCTTGTGCCACCCAGTGCAGTTGATGTGTACATCCATTTATTTCCAGACTCATCTGAGCTTTGACCACTGAACGTAACGGACGAACACAGTAGAGTTTGAAGAGTCTCAGTTTAATATAAACACACAGAATGAATGGATGTTCAAATGACTGCGCATAAAAAGTATTGTTTGACTGTCTCAGTGGAAAATTTCTGTTTAAGCTGCATTAAATATCTCATGGATTTATGATGTGTAATTTAAATGTTCATGTAAAATAAAATGATAGTAAAATTTAAAAAAGGCTTAAAGCGATATGTTGAATTACTCCAGCAATGATGTGCACAATCAATTCATAGATACACTACAACAAATGGAAAAAAAATACATGAAGGAGGGGCTGGTACTTGAGTGTAGAAACAACCAGTTAGACTGTTTACTACATCATTGTCCTCATTAACAAATAGAAGATGGGTCAGGAGTTATAATGAAATATGAACACATTTGGAAGAGACTCTCTTTAGTCTGTAAGGAATCATTTGAGGTGAGTCGATCAAACAGAGGGCAGCCTGGGGGAAGGAGCCTCGGGCACCGGGAAGACTACCCTCTTCCTGAACGAGAAGGCTGGCTGAGGCATTTGCTTTTTTTCACCAGTGGAATCGGTCTTCTGGCTCACATCGTCATTCACTTTGGTCAGGATGGACAAGAGGTCAAAGCCACTGGAATAAAGCAGACGATACAGTAAGAGGATGGCCTCGTAAAATGACCAACTTAATTATTCTCTCATCTTCACTGTCAAATGTCATAAAAAGTAACTTGGTGCTGAATAAAGTGACAGAAGTAAAGGGGCAAATTAACTAAACTGGAAGTGAAGGAAATGTTTAAATCATTTATGTAACTTAAACAGAAACAATACCACACAATAAACAAAAACTACTTACAAGTTAAATCCTGAATGAAGGCATCAAAAATAGAAACACTCTTTATCCCAACTAACCAGTGCAGTTTCTATGTACATACATTTTTTTTCCAGACTCATATTAGGTCACCTTGACCTTTGACCACTGAAATTTCATCAGTTAATCAATGAAGTCCAAGTGACAATTGATCAAAAGTTGAAGAAAGACCCTCAAGGCGGTCCTGAAATATCACATTCCAGAGGCCAAAAACATGATTTGTGAGGCCATCATGACCTTTGACCATCGAATGACACGTGTGGGAAATTTTGAAAGAACTCCTACAAGGCGTTCCTGAGATATCACATTCACAAGGCAAAATATGTGATTTGAGAGGTCATAGGTCACCTTGACCTTTGACCACCAAAATCACCAGTTCATTCTTGAGTCCAAGTGAATGTTTGTACCAAATTTGAAGACATTTCCACAAGGTGTTTTTGAGAATTCGCGTTCACGAGAACGATCCTGACAGACAATCTGAAAACAAAATGCCTCCAGCCACTGGCATGAAAATAGTAAAGTCCAACTTCGGCTTCTTGATGTAACAGGGTATCTATTGGTCATCAGTTAGCAGTAATGGTCTTCTACAATAATAAGGGCAAGAATCCATACAACAAATATTTTCCAATGCAACAGTGCTTCAAAAACTGTTTCCCCCTCTAGCAACATCTATCCATGAAGTGAAAGTTCTCACCTATATGGTTAATAACCCAAAGCACAACAGAGACACCTATGGACCAATTTGTTGTCCTGCATACAACTAACCCAACTAAAGGCTCCTTTAGCTACTAATGATGAATCAAATGTAGCTTAATAACAAATATTTATCATAATTTCAGCATGCGTAATTTAAAAAACTATTCTGAAAATTAACTGTCGTTGTATTAGTGCAGTGGAGTAAGAATTAGATTTAGAGGTAGTCCAGAATTTGTGTAAATTTTTTGTATTTGTGTAAAGTTATTTTCAACCACTGAAAAAGAAAAATCACATCATCCAACAAAATCTGATATTTTGTTTTTCTCACCTTGGCACCATCTGGATGAGGTACTTGCACAATGACTGAATAAACCAGGTGCCCCTCTGCTTATCTCTGTAGGAAACAAAGGAAGGAACGGTGGCCATCGATATCAGGAAATCCGCATCTACTGGAAAGGAGTCTCTAACAGCATCAGTACAGATGAGACTGGTTGCGGGGCCATCGGCCTCGATGTACACTGCACTCTGCTCTTTTTTGCCCTGGCAAGCCTGGATGAAGAAAAGTTTGGGTTTTTGGGCCAAAGTCGGGCAGTTACGTGCATTCAAAGGCTCCATCAGGTCGTTGATCTTAACAATTTTGTTGTCGACACCGTGCACTCCTCCCTCCAGGCCGTGGCTGAGAACAAAGCACGCCACGCAGGACATCTGCCTGTGGTCTCTCCTGCCAAGATCCCACAACAAAGACAGCATCTTCTCACGTGTACAGTTGAGATGTACCTCGACGTCAAAGCCCAGCCACTTAAACACATCCCTCAGACACTCTGGAGGATTAACGGATAGAATAGCAATATCACAGTAGCACAAAGAGTTAAATTAGTTCATTAAACATAAACTTACCTTCATCAATCATGGTGCCATCACGAGGCTTGAGACTGGTCTCATGGAAGACGTGGTTGTTGATAATCAAGCAGATACCTCTCTTTGCTTCAGTCATGGGATAGATGCCCAAATCCTACAAACATAAATCCACAACCAAGATTAAATAATCAGATTATTGTTGTCCAAGTTTTGCTAAAAGCTATACCTTCAGAGTATAGTGTTTGGGCATTTTACACTTAAGAGTTTGGACCATGATCCAAACCAAGGTTCAATATGTTTACATGTGATCTGTTAATTCCAATTTCACATTGCAATTTAGGGAGTAGACTAAAGACTTTTGTATGGCACATACAGGCTGCATCTACCTGTACTTGATATTAACTGGTTTGTAAACAGGCGTGTGTCTGACATCGGCATATTGTCAGTTCGCCGGGTCTTTCAGTCTGAAATTAGGAAATGTCTAATCTTTGTTTCTTTGCCGTTGTATTATCTTTATTAGCACCAGCATCCCCAACTTCAGACTCAGTACCCAATGCAAGTTCAAATTAACGTCCTCGTCATTCAGTCATTATACTGTCTGCAGTGCAGACTACAAATACATCTTCTTTTTCATCTTCTGTTGTGTCTCAACTTCCTGCAATTGGTCTGAAAGTCCAAACTGTCCAAAAAAGTGGTCCCACACTGTAAATGATCCAAACCATAGGTTTGTTTGATCCGGACCGAGACCACCTCTTCGGTCCACACCAAATTTTGCTATATTGTTCTGGATGGTTGTCCGAGGAACCTTTTACACCTTTTATTTTGGTTCAGACTAAAAGTTCCAGACCAAACAAGGTAGGTGTGTAAGTGCCCTTATGTTAAAATTTGCTGTAGAGCCCATATCCAGTCTAGTACTCTAGATCTTCTAATTCCCACAGTGTGAGAATAATACTGACATATGAATCAAACACAGATATTCACACAGCACCCCTCAACAAGAAAGGGCCTTAACATAAGCTGACAATGCAGGAGCCAGTTTATTTTCTACATTTGCTTTTTTGGCCAAACATAATAAATGTTAATCAAGTGATGTGATGCCGGGGGTTTCAAAGCCCCTGAAGGTCTGTGACTGGGGCAGTTGACCATTTTACCGTGGCAGTAATTCAGCCTTGAACTCATGAACTTGTATAACTGAGAGGAAATAAATCACACACCTCACTGTTTGTAGATGTCTGATTTTCAGGGAGGCTCCTGCTTTCTTGAGACGCCGAAACAGTATCACTGTTCACTGTGAGACAGACGAATGCAGTGGAAGAACAGTGTCGTCATTTTCCACAAAGATAATTCTGTCATGTTCGGTTCATAAAGCTCATCACTGTGGAAAAGACTTACAACAATGTTCTGAGAAGGAAAGGCTGCTCATTTCACTGCTTAAGTGTGATTCTGAAGAATCTGGAAAAGTCATAAAAAAGGATTTTGAAAAAAATTCTGCTTATGAAATGGAAAAAAGTTTCTGTTAAACATCAAATCCAAAACAGAACTCACTCAGAACAGTGCTGGAAGAATCAACGGAATACTGCGGGACACAAGAGAAATTAAAAATAAAATACACCACAAGACAAAATAAATCGGTTTCATCGTCATATAAGTGATTCTGTATTTTCTTACCTGGGTAGATGACTGGAGGGCTTCTAAGAATGAGAACAAATGATTTTGCGTTATAACTTTGCATTAAATTGATTGAAATGAAACAGCAGATGTTTACATATGTATCAAATTTACAACAATATAATAAGACATGTTTCAGAGTGGGAAAAGTCTAAATTAAGTATAATATATATATCATATGTATGCATGTATAATAAAGTAGAATCATTTTTTCATAATTGCTCTTGCTCCTCCTGCTTTGATGTGTTGACTTCAGAACCAGCCCAGCTAACCACTGAAAGAAACTCTTTGACGGGAGAGAGTGTTTTCTGTAGCTTACCCTGCTGTGTCTTGAACTGGTTGATCTGTCCTCTCATCTTGGGACAGACTGAGTAAATGATCGTCTCCAGTTCACTTAGGTTAGTGTCACTCAGGATGTCCATGTGCTCCATCTTCAGGAAGACGTCCAGCAACGACTGAAAAGTTGAGCAAATTTACACTTTTATTTTATAGAAATGTATTTATAGAACTGTGTTTATGCAGGACTTCGACCACTCAAAGCACTTTACAGCCACATTCACATTCTTACAACACTAACAGTATTTTATGCTTTTTTTTACAATCACTCATCATCACGCATTGCAAGGTAATTTGGTGTTCAGTATGTTACCCAAGGACACTTTGGCATACTTAGAGGCAGAGTCGAGGACAAAACCAACGACTTTCTGGTTAGCGGATGACCAACTCCACCTCCTGAGACACTGCCGTCCATGTATTGTTAACCAATCAATGCACAAAGTTGTAGCACTGCAGTATTTATAGTTTGCATGTTTAGAACTGATTGTCTCTTGTCTCCTCAAACCACAGGATTCAAACGCTGACACAACTCACATAATTGTCCTCCAGTTTTCTACGTGGGACCGTTTTGTACAACAAAAACTTCACTTCTTCCAAGTCCTCTCGAGTCATCTCCTCGTACAGGTTGTAGAGCAGCTTCCTAAAATAAAACAGTACAACCCAAGAGTTTTCTCAGTTGGCCTGGTATTGGACTGGACATTCTTGACATGTATCACCGTCGTATGTTAGTATTCTGACACCACTACCATTTTAAGCAATGAGAAATTGCAGTTTTCCATAGATTTCAATGATATATATGATACATTTATGATATATGACAGATGTTTGGACAAAACAAGAGAGGGGTGACCCCAGACTCCAAGAAATTGCTATGGGATTTTTCTTATATTTCTATTTTATGACTTTTCAGAGACCACTAATATAAAACATAATCAAACAATAAATGACATCCAAAACCTGAATTCCTTCTATATAAGGAAGTTTACTCTGGAAACATTTCTAAACATCTAGTCATCAATGTTCATCAGGTTCATGTCTCTGATACTGATCCTATGCTTTGTATGAAGAAGGTGCATCCATTTAGCGTGAGCGTCTTCAAATAATTTCCTGTAACAATAATTATTGGATGATTTACTTAAAAGCAGTAAAATGTGAGCAGCCCACCTGTAGGGAGAGATGAGGCTAGTGGTTGTAGGTTCTCTGTCGTTGAGATTGAAGGCACTGACTAGGTCGAGGCGTTGTATGGTGCGCAGAAGCTCAGTCAGCAGGTCTCGTCGCTCATGCGAGAGATGGTCTCGTTCCGCCAGACGAGAGAAGAGGTCATTGGCTGACTTCACAGAGGTTGGATTTCGGTCCAGGATGTCGGTGCAAAGAAATATTAGAGCTTTTACCTCGTCCGTACCCAGGGCCTTCCCCACATCTAACAGGAGCTTCTGGAAATCCATTCCCTGTATTAAACACGAGGCAAACTCACTCAGACGTCTGTTTTCTTCTCTAACATAATGCCTGTCACAATTTCATCTTTATATACATTAAATCCACAGTTTTATCACAGATAATAACCATAACATGTGATGGCATTCTGGAGGAGGTTGTGTGAATCCCTTAAAGTTTTCGCACCAGTTAATTTTAAGATATAAAGGCCGGGATGACCTGTAAGGAAGACCTTATAATTACCACCTTGTCTTATGTTACAGTACTTATGGTAGTTGGTAATCAACACCTCAGAAGAATATTATCTGATTATGACTTTCACTCCCACATAAATCCATATGACAGCCTTCTTCCACTTACATAAAAAGGAGAAACACCTTCAGAGAGCTGTAGTTGTAGTATAACTCTGTGAGCTGTTGATCACTGTATGAATCAGGAAGTAGAACAAGTTTGATTAAATGATGTCTCTCAGTGATACCCACCTGTCTGGAGGAGTTTTCACAAAGTCTGATTAAAGTTATTTAAAGTCCACTTCAATATAATCGTCGTAGAAGTAGAAAACTTCTATGATAGATTACTTCCGGACACAGACCTCAGCGCAGCTCGAGTCGAATGAGCACGTTCAAACCGAAAGTAAAAGAAAGTTACAGGATTATTATCGTATTTTTGCGAGACTGTCACGCCCTGTTCTACAAACAGCGTTCAAATATAGATCATTTCAGAATTCAGAGACTATGTTGAAGTTACAATTATCAATATAGAATTCAAATGAACGTGTACGATACTTTTGTGATTTTAAGACTAAGGTTCCTGTGGCAGAGCCCGGATCATGTTTCTTCGGGGGACATCTGAGGGCGGGGTCCTGAGCAGGTCGTGACGTCAGGATCAGGAACATCTGGTGAAACGTCAAAAAGCACGTGGGTTCACTGAGGTCCAACTTTGAGCTCAGTTTGAATCACTCAGCACAAACACACAGTTGATTTCTGACTGGATCTGTATTTTCCCCAGTGACCCAGCAGGTTGATGCTGGATGTTCTGTGTTTATAAAGTGCTTCTCTGGTCTGGATGACCCCTCAGTACACACAAGACCATATTGTTACACTAACTCTGCGCAAAGGAGGGAGGCACTGACGTCAATTAACAGCCAACAGATATTTACCAAACTCCAATCAACATTATAGTGTGGTCAGTGCGCCCAGCTTTAGTGGTAAGTACAGTATTTTATTATAAAAAACTAGTTACTGCTTTTTATTAAGGTACATTGTATTGTTTGTATTTAGGTATAATCTGCACATTATTGCCTTTAAAAGGAATTGAGATAAAGAAATGTCAAAAGTTTTCACTCTTAAAAAACTATTTACAAGTGATGTATGTGATATTTTGAGTGTTTTGTGAAGAATCAAACCTGATCAATTATCTGCATGCTGCTCAATATTAAAGTGAACTTCCAGAGAGATCTGACCTGCGTTGTGTCCAGATGGTCCCTGTGCTCCTGAACGCACCGTTGGCCGCAGTGTTTATACTGAGCTCCATGTGTGCCGTGCCGCTCCGGGGTCAGAAGCCGGGTCAGGTGGACCCTCTGGCGGCCCATCGCTCCAACCCGCAGTGCTGGGACTCCTCCTCGGCGCTGGTGCTGGAGATGCGCTCCCCGAGGATCGCAGACACGGTGCCCGCCTTCTGGGACCTGATGGTGTTCCTCAGGGCGTCAGACAAGAGCAAACACACGGATCTCTTCTGGGACCTGGCCCGGGTCTTCTGGGACATCTACGTGGACTGTGTGCTGTCCAGGAGCCACGGCCTGGGCCGGAGACACGTCACCGCCGTGCACTCCCTCATCACTGACAGTGAGTGACACACACACACACACACNTATTTTGATCCATTATTCTTTTCATTTTATGTAGTTTCTTACTTTTAGATTTATATGTATTTTCAATTTGTTATAAAATGTCAAGGGGAGGGAAACAAGCCCCCATTAAGGCCTTGTGCTGAGCAGCAGGCAGGAGCGGTTCTAGTTGTTCTTCTTGCGCTTCCCTGCATAAGTACATTCAAGGATAAACCACCTGCACTTATGATACATTCTTTTATTGCACATAAAATGCACATAAATTGATTAGAAACATTGGTAATCTTCTGATAGTTTTGACAAGAATCCACTATTGTTCATACACTGTTGCATTGGCTTGATTAGGGTTAATCTCAAGAACAAAAACATGTAAAAAAGTAATAAATAAAGCACAAAAAATTAAATGTTAGGGCACAGTGGTGTGCAGGTAACCATAGCAACAATCCTGTTATTCGTGGAGTATCACCATTAATACACAGAAATGAGAGGAAGTACATAACACAAGCTATAAGAAAGGACAACAACATCAACTTAACCTACTGTTTTCTTAATACAGAATAAATATAAGGTAATTGTGCAGTGACATAATGAAAATATTATTGTGTGTCAAAAAATCATTATTGTAAACAATGCTACGTTACAGAAAGACATGGGGGGGTGAAGCATGGATGTATTAAAAAACTTGTTATTTATATTTTAAAACATTTAGAGATGTAATTTCAAATTCCACTTGAGACAAAGTTAACTACTGCTACTTTTCTATGCTAGACAAGACTGGATTTAGCTGCTGCCTAATTTCTACATCATCAATACATTAATGAATTAAAACTGATATATTTATATCAGGAAACAGCTGGAGAGAACTTGATCTTGCGAGCCTAATTTTGGCTTTTGTTCGCTCCACCATTTGTTTTTAGTTTAGAGTGGGGTTGCACTGTGTATGACAACCATTTATTTTAAATTGCACATTAAATAAAAATAAATAAAGGAAAAAATATACATAATGACTGCATTCTGGCTGTGTGGGACAGTAAAGATCTTGATTTGTCCTCAAGGATAGATGATGTTCAGAAGGAAAGAAAATATTGATGAAGATTGTAAACGTTAAAAACCTGGTGAATTATTTGTGGTAGTGTTTGTTTGATTTGGGTTTGGTCTTCAGGGTCTTCGTGTGTCCTCTGTGTCTTACTCTGACGCTGAGCCACGCCCGAGAGTTCAGCCCCGAGCTGTTGAACCTGAAGGACTCTGTGGAGGAGACACACACACACACACACACACACACACACACACACACACACACACA